TAAAAACTCAGTTGTAGAAGAGAGCTGACGACGGGACTTTTGAAGGCAGTGAACCCCTTTAGGAATGGTGCTGATGGGAGAAAGGGCAGGAAGGTCTTCAGCTTCTTGTTTGTCCTCTACCAGGGAGGAAAAACAATGAAGTGTTACCAGGACTGAGTACAGAAAAAAAGGTGGGTTTTTTTTTCTTTTCCTTTTCTTTAAATACATTACTTTCTGTATCATCCATTAACCAGAAAAAAAAATGTTAATCGAACATCCCTCAAGTCTTGAGCAGTTGAGTAGATAATGTCCTGTCAAACAAGATAGAGTATATCATGGCATTGCCTCTGTTTTAACTTTAATCCTCACATCCTGTGAGCAGCAACATTGACCAGTCCTTAGAGAGACTCAGCCCTGGGTTCCGTTTGTGTCCTGCCAGTGACCTTTGCCATGTACTTGAAATCTTTGTGCCTCTTAGGTTACCTGTTCTGCCTACTTAGTAGATAAGGTCTGCTGAACAACTATGTGATTGGGTATCCTAACATTTCCCTTAAGCCTTAAAAACTCTGTGCCAGACATTGAACATATTCTTTCTATTTCAACATAGCCTATCTTCCTAAAAGTGTCTACGATTTAAAATTAGACCCTGCAATGAGCAGACCATGGTATTCTGTCTTTCTTTATTATGATGTGAGGTTACCGACCCTTCAGTTACTACCCCACTGGGATTTTTGTAATGTCCTGGTATGTGAAAAGGTCCTTCTCTTGTTTTTGGCACTATGACTTTCAGAGTGGATTTCTTTCTATGATTATAAATACAGGCTACCTAAAAGCTGCTTCCACTGTAGGATTGCCCTATTCTGATCGAAGGAAAATTAATGCTAATGTTTATCTGAACACCGAAGACAGTCAACATTTGATTCAGACAAATAAAAAACATCAGTAAAATCTTAGAATTCTGGAAGAAATTTTGTAAGAATGAAGAAATTCCTTTCTAAAATTTAGGAACATTTTAAGAACATGCTATTTAACTCAAGGATATTGTGGAACATTGAGTCCCCTGAAGCCGGTGAAGTCTATTCAGGTGATGATGTGAAGCCTGACATGTAGCAATAGAGAAGCAAACATCTTTGCAAACATAGAATGGAATTGATCGTTTTCAATACGGGATGATGCTCAGAGTCCATAACTCTCACCAGCTGTGACAGCTAAGGTCAGTCTGAGGAGGAGGAGAGTGGTAAGCAGCAGCAGCAACTGCATTAAGGAACAAATACAGTTCAAGCCTTTTTTGCTAATTTATGTTAAATTTGGTAAATATTTTCAGTAAAAAGTCTAAGCAAGTGATTAAACAAATTAAGAATAATTCTGCAAAAGTATTTTAAAAACCCAAAAATATTTTGAGCTTTTAATTTGAAATGTTTCTCAGTGCTCTTCAATTTTCAAGCACTAAAATAAACAAAGATTGACAATTAGAAGATCAGCATGAAACAGTTTTTCCTCTAATATTTTCTTTTTTTTTTTTTTTTTCATGCAAATAGAATCCCAAACTCACAGAACTCTAATTATGCCACAATTTGGCATGTTATAATACACAAATGAATCATGTGGCTGAATTTGAAACTTGAAGAGCTCACTTGAGGGAGACTGGGCTCCTGTTAAATAAATTTACAGCCTAATCCTATTCCAGGCTTCTGATAAATAGAATTATAACCTAACGCTCTGAAGTATTTTACAGCCTTCCTTTCAAAGGTTTCAGAATGCTTTTCTAACAACAATAAAGAAATAATCCTAAAACACAGTTGTGAGCTACTTGTCTACAGCAAAGGTTAGTACTTGTCAAAGAGGAGTAATTGAGTTGCTCAAGGTCAGAGAGCAAACCTGGAAGAAAAGCAGCCAGTTGTACGCCTTTGGGTCTGCTCATCAGGCTGTAGCCATGGCACTGGCCCGGGACAGTTAAAAATACTGTGCGAAGGCTGCTAGGTGATCAGCCTCCAGTGCTAGAGGTAAAAAGCATTTCTAGAACTAGCTGAAGCAGTAAAATGTTCCAGCCACGAACTTTGCATTTGCCCTTAATTACTCTGAGGTTATGATTAATGTTTTTACACAAAATGTTCTGGGTGGAATTTTTCCAGTTTTGTGTCAAACCTCTTAGGGCTGCAGCGGTTGAGAGAGTTTTTAATTACGAAGGTTCCAGCCATGAACTTTGCATTTGCCCTCTGAGGTTATGATTAATGTTTTTACACAAAATGTTCTGGGTGGAATTTTTCCAGTTTTGTGTCAAACCTCTTAGGGCTGCAGCGGTTGAGAGAGTTCTTAATTACGAAGGATTTTCCAGTCAATTTGGGTTCTTTCCAGATGGCTTTGGATGACATGGGTTTGAACTCGGTTTTTTTCTCCCCAATGTAACAAACCTGGTTTACAGATGGGGAAATGAGGCACAGAACCACTTGCTGGAGGTCACTCTGGACTGAACTGGTCTCCTGCACGTATGCTCTGTCAATAGCTACACCATGCTCTGTCAATAGGTCATTCTTGCTATCAGTTCTACTATCTATGTACAAAGACACATTAAAGGAAAATGAATATTTTTTGGTGTTATAAAGCATCCAAGTGTGAGGACAGCAACGAACTAGGGCAGCCTGTTCAGATCCATTATCCATAATATGCTGAGATGTGCAAGAATTTACCAGTCCTTATACATGGACCTAGAAAAATTCAAACTCAAAGGCAACCACGGCTGAGAAGAAAAGTAACCTACTAGCATGAATGAAGTAGAATCAAAGAAAACTTTTAGTCTAAGAAAGGAAACCAAGAAGGCATGACAGCTGATGTATACTGTACAATATAAGAGAAGAATGGAGATACTCACAAAAGGTAACCTGAGCTTATTGAGGCAAATGAAGAAGGCACTTTTTGTAGTTAAAAGAGAGCAACAAATTCCTCTTCAGGGTGATCATCAGCAGAAACTTGAATTAGCCATCATTATAGAGGAAACCAAGGGAGATCAGTTAGCCTTTTTAACGGTCTTGTCTCTCACCGTATTTCTGCTATAGAATTTACTTAACTTATTTTTAATACATCAGTTCAGTGTTTCTGGAGTAATGCTTGCGTATTTCTACAAACCCACCCTTATTTCATCCCTCTTACATTTTAGAGGAAAATACAAATGTACGAAACGAGGAGTTCACAGCCTCCTCTCTCACTAGAGCTGCGCACCCTGTTCCCAGAATGAATCCCGCTGCAGGAGCGCAAGTGGGGCATCAGCAGCATTTTGCCATGACAACTTCCAAACGTGGGGCTCTAGAGATTTTAATCGAACAGTTAAACTGGAAATCGTTAGTTTTATGATCATCCTAGAATTAGCAATAAGCCACCATCTTACCGTTAACTGGCATGAAAGTGTGCAGAAAAAAATCAGATCAGTTTTATTCCCAGGGTGCTCTAAAAGCCTGAACAGCATCTAGAGCTTGTTTAGCCGACAGGAGGGCTGCTTGCTTGCACAGGGTCAGAATTTCACCCTCTGATTTTGGGCTTAACATTTAGAAGCACACTGGTTAAGATTTTTATATTTCTTTCCATCTGTACATGGTTAGGCACTACTAAAAGTTAGTAACTTTTTTTGAGAAATAAAACTCAGATAAGGAAAAAAAATGAAGAAAGCTGGGCTTACTGGTACATACCCCACAGAACATATGTCTTATCAAGTCAAACAAAAACATACACTTTGTAAAATATGGCTGCTTGCAAATAACCTGGAGATACCATAGGTCACAACTGATCAGAATCTCTTTCAAGCAGCTTTTGATTTAATTTTGCTCTAATCTTACAAGAAGGTTAGTATGTCATCTTAAATTTCTACCAATTACACAACTTGGAATCAGAGTGACTTTTGTGACACTGCAATAAAAATTACATGGCAAAACCATCGGCAGTCTGTTGTAATGTTAATATATTAAATCCTTTACAGCCTGCTCTGCTAAAATACTCTAGAAATGTCAAATCAAAATATGTGTGAAAATATTAACCACAAACAAAAAAAGGCGTCTGAAACTTGTTTTCTAAATGTAAGAGATTTTGTGCTCAGCTCCACATACAAAACCAGATCTTTTGAAAACAGGGACAGTTAAAGAAATATATTTTCAAACATTTATATTATTAAAATGGAAACTACAGTTGACAGATTTTCACTATCAAAAAGACTGCCATTATGAAATCACGTAGCAGTACAATTAACATACATAGACTTTAAGGAATATTTCCACCGTTACCATGCTTCTTTTTGAATTCTGCTATATAGGCACATATTTCCAGCACCATTTCAGTAAAAAGTGGTATATCCTTTTAATACTACTCGTTCCCTTCAAATTCCAAACCAAAATTATGACCCTAAAAATGTGATAGCTAAAAGATAAAGTGCCTTATAGAGAATTTGGAGATGATACTCGATTTATATAACGAATAAAAATATTGCTACAAGCAGCAGTCTGGAAACTTGTTCTACTTCAAAAAAAAACAACAGTAAGAACAATCCATGTTATGTGTTAAAATTAGTTATGCCAGAAACAAGTGACTTACCTTATCAGAAAAGACACTATCTAGAAAGTTTTCTTGCAATAGCAAATAGCTATGGAAGCTTGCTAAGAGATAAAAATGGTGATTCAAATGCTACAGGAAATAGCACACCCTTTTATTGTCGGCATGTTCTTTGGAGTAAACAAAGTTAATCCTCATCTCATTACAAAGGAAGCTCCAAACAATCTTCCCATAAGTTAATGAGTGAGCCAATTAATAAAATGAAAACAATTGCAACCAAAAAAAGTGTGGTATTTTTTCAGTATATAAAATAAAAAAAAAATTTCATATATGTGTAGAATTCTGCATCTAATTTAATTAGCAGTTTTGTGTCTGAAGAAGAAAAGATCCTGCTTACTTGCTCAAAATGTTAAATTAGGTACCTTGCATACTACCTCATTTAAACATTATTAAATAACGGAATAATGGCAAAGAGCCTCAATACTCACATTTGGTTTCAAGCTGCTTCTCTTGGTAACTTGTGCAGCAAAATAAAGGAAGAAATAATTACACGCCTTCACAGAAACAAGGATTCATGAGGTCCAAAAGAAACAGAACACTTTGCCAGAGCTATTTGAGGGTCCCATCAGAATTTGGCTGGATGGAGGAATGCTGAGGGTCAGTTTGTTTCCCTTAGACCTCATGACATGCAAATAGCTGGCTGCCTCACCAATGAATCAAATAATTCTTTGACATATTGTGTTTACAATCTGCAAACACATACCATGTAGGAGGTTCGTAAAGGAACATATTTCAGACAGTTGTCAAAAGGAAAAAGGGACTTCAGCCAAAAACCTAAAGAATCAAAACCCCTAAAGGCCCCAAACTGTTTAGTACAAAGAAAAAAAAGGAAAAAAAAAAAAAAGACGGATCACCACTCATTCCCAGATACACTTTGGTCCATGCATAATGAATCCAAAAGACCTCATGTGGGCTTGTAAATCAGAAAAGAAATAGAAAAGTCGTGATTACTGAAGTCTTACTGTTGCGTACAGAAAATGGGGGACAGGGAGAACCACTTTTCCAATTTCAGAAAATACTTTTGGGGACCCAGCAGAACTCCTCTGACACCAAAGAAAGCAATTTTTGGGCTGGAATAATTTTCCAGTCTTCCAGCAGGCAGGAAGGCGTTCATATGGTGTTACCATCAGCACAGCAGCAATGGCCTTCTCTAGGTTCCTCTCAGCATTTCTTCATTCCAGCCTTCTTTGAACTGCAGTCATTTGCAGTCATCTCTTTTTAGAACAGGGGCCAGCTAACTTTCACAGTCTACTGCATGCGTGGAGCATACAGAAGTGCTTACACTTTGCATCAGACTCTATGCAGACCTTCAATGAATCGCAGCTGAAAGTAAGGATATTGTGTACGTTTAAAAATGCAGGCTGAAGCTAAGCCGAGTGAAAAAAAGGACGGCTGCTTGTGGTGTGAACCATGACTGACCCCCAGGCAGCTTTTTCCACAAACAAGAGCCAATAGATCTGAACCATTTAGTCCATAATGTCAAGTGTGTGGGAGCTGTTTTATAGCACAGATAGAAGAAAGGAGGAAATATTTAAATGGTTTAAAGATGTATTATGTTATCTGAAGACTTTGGTAAAGTTGCCAAATCTAGACATGTTCTGGAGGTTATCTGTGTCTAGGGAGTGTCTTGCAATTAAGACTGATCCTCTGATTATTATTGCCAAGAACTGACCATCCCTATTTGCAGCTGACTGGTTTATTAAACCTCTGCTGTCACTTATTTTGTCAGGTACTTAAACAAGATTGACTTATTTTCTCCTATTTTTATATGAGCTATAAGCTTTATTTATACCAAACATTGAGAAGACTGAGAAGAGAGAGGACAAGATAGGTGTGAATTTGAGTCCAGAATGAGAATAATGTATAGCTTCCTCTCGCCTTTACTTCCAGAAAGAGAAAAATGAAAGTACAGTTCTTGATCAAGTACTTTTTGAAGGTTACAAATTAGAGCAAGACAGAAGCATTATCCAAACAGATCTGTCAAAAGAGCTAACGACACTTAGAAATACTTCTAATGCAAAATGTTCTTCCCAGAAAGGATGAGAAGTACCTCCTCTAGCATATCACTTTCCTTAGACTTCAAAGACTATCCTCAAATCTGTCTACCTGTAAATTTGAGATCATAACTATGTTGACACAAGCCATGCCCACAAAAGCATTTAAAACAATCAAGAGTTTTTGCCAACAGCAACAAACTAAGTACAACTGAATATGTCAACAAAAATTCTGCTGCTTCTTCAGAGTAGCAGGTAGATGATGCCTCCTATAGCTCTCACATCTCTTCCTCAACTTCCTGAAATAGAAACCAGCTTATTTAATCTGTCCCCACACATGACCTATCCTGACCTAGCTTCCTCTTCATATTGAGGATTTGGGAATTTTATCGACCAAATGGTGTTTCTCTTTAAACTACTCAAGTTGCTCTTCCCAATTCCAATTGTTTTTTTTTTTAATTAAAAAAAAAAAAAGATATGTCATTCTCTAACAATTCCTTTAAAAAAAACCAACTAAAAAAAACCCCAACTTGTTTTCCTGAGAAAACATCTTTGGCATTTACTGAACATGCTCTGTTACTTGGGTCAGCAGAGAAAGGAATTCTGCTCTCACAAGTATCCTGTTTATGCAAAAGCTTCAGATAACTACAATTTTTTATGTTTAAAATACAATCATCGTTCAAAAAGTTTGAGTAGCACATATTTGGAGGCTCAAAAAGCACTCGGGAGAAATCACTACATGCCTTGTTCTTATACTCCTCCCTAGGCATCCACTTTGGCCTCTGCTGGAGAAACAATGCTGGGCTACACAGACCTTCCATCTGACCCAGTAGAGTCTTCTGCAAGGGTACTGAACTTATTAAAAAACTCCCCAAATCTACCTAGTTTTGTAGAAATTTCCATTTTCCTCACCTAAGGAAAATGTAACTGTTACTTTTTAGAAAACAAATTCAAGGAGCAACTACTGCATGAGTAGCCTACCCATGAGCCTACTACAGAGAGAACAGGACTCTAGTTTTATCTGAACAAGCTGTACGGATTCACACAGGCAACAAATCCCAGTGCTACTACTTAGAAACTTGTGTCATTTATTTTTTTTTTTTTAAAGAAGCTGCAAAACAAGGGAATTCGAAAGAAGGCTGCAAGTTCTAACAGAAAAACAGTTTGCTTATTTCCAGCAGACCTGCAAATCACCATCTACAAAAGTCACATTTGGCCACTCAAAAATAGCAAAAGGCAAGGCTGTTGCTGAGAACGGTATTATTCCACCCATGGCTAATGCCTCCCTTCCAATTTGCTGAGAGCAGCAGCAAATGAGGCTATGAGATGCATGTTTATAAATAGCTGTGTATGTATATGCATATATACATGTTAGCTTTATGAGTGTATAAAAATATAATGGTGGTGTTTAAATACCACAGGTGAAGGGCATGAGAGGCCGACACCAAATACTGAAAACCAAAGTAAAAGCATTGATTTGTATACTTCCTACTGCCTTTCATTTTCCTAGTATTCCAAAGGGCAGTTTTGCTTTGTGAATGGAACCTCTGACTTCTAAGACAAGATTATTCTTCCCCCTACATATGTTCCTCCTCGGGAGAGAAAAAACCCATGAATTAACAAAATATTCAGGAAATTGTGGATACTCCTTGTCTTTCTCTTTCAAAATACTTCTATTTCATAACCTAAACAATGATTTTCTACATCTAAGAGACAACAAAAATATCTGGGAAGGTTTTCCAACCAGTGACTCCTTGAATTTTGCTAGTAGCCAGAAGATCTCTATGAATTTTGGTGTTTCCCCTCATATCTACTTTGAAGAATATATTTTATCAGTCTTAGAACATTGGCTACAGTACAGCATGTCTAACACATTATATAGTCAATTTTATAATAAGCTCATTATTCCAGCATAAAACAGAATCAACGAAAACTAGAGGGACACTCAGAATGGCATGTTAATCAAATGGTGCATATTTCCAATTGTGTTTGAAAGCTGTAAGTTGCAAGATGATCACCAATTGTCTAAGTCAACAGAATGTATTTTAAATACTTCATCATTTAATGTTATTAAAATAATTTCATATTTGCATAAAGAAGGTCATATGGCATATTATTTACAAAATAGCTCAATATCATATAAAATTTTTTACATTCAGTATAGGAACTTAATAATTATTCTGGCTAAATAACAAGAAATCAAACCTATTCCCTGTACGCAACCTCTATTTCTCAAACAAAGTTAAAGGGCCTAAATATTTTTCATCTCTTACTCCTCACTGTCCTTTACTGCCAGCTACGATAGCCTCCCGTCAAGAAAACAAGTACCTTTTGCTTCTGCCTTACAACTGGCAAACTGTTTCACCTTACATTTGGTAAAGAGCAGCAGCGATGTGAACATTGCTAAGCATTACTGTCTTTTATATATGTATAAAATTCAATTTTTTACTTCACCAAAGTTAACTTAACCTTGGTTAATCTATTACTGAGTTTCCATACTTGGCCTCTTCAACTTTAATTTATTGTAATTTCAGGTTTGGCTATATTTATGATCAAGCTTATAGAACATGTGAACTTTTGGAAAACAGAAATATCTGAACAGAGTAGGGCTTGCACAGAATTTTCTTTCTTTCAGCTTGAAAGAACTTTGGCAAGAATGAGTGAATGACATTTTTAGTGAAAAGAGCTCTATTTCTTGTCTTACTACTCAAACTTAATTTTAGGCAAAAATCTAAAATTACACACATGAAATCAATGACTATTACTGAAGTAATACAACTAACATATTTCCAGTTTAAAAATTAAATTCTCTTAAAAATAAGTTAGAAGTATATTTGACATACAAGAATTACGTCATTAACAGTGGCAGAACTTCATTTTATACATTTTTCCACTTTCCTGAAGACATAAAGTACTGCTCATGTAAAAATAAGGCTGGTAAAAAAACTTGAGGGAAACACTTTAACCAACATTTTGGTCTACAGTTTATGTAGAAAGATCATAAACAGAATACTTTTCAAGAAACTCAGGATAAACAGAATACCAGAAGTTCTCTCAAGCAGCTGACAGAACGCAAGCAAGTGCTTCTAATTGCTACGGGAACTGGACTAAGAACTCAACAAGCCTGCTGAATGAACATATAACATGGAAACAATGGCAGGCGTAACAGTATTTATCCACTCCCAAAATACCACTGCAAAAGGGGATCACCTCCTCTGTCCCAACGATGTGTTAAATGAACTGCTATTATGGACATTAACAGAAAACATGAATATCAGGAGTGTGCTGATTTTCATAAGCTTTCAGTACATTTCGAAACTCACATTAGTACTGGGTCACTTCTCTTAAGTTCAACAATATAAACTCGTACTCAATGTTTTTACCGTTGCAGTCCAGTGAACAAAAGCTGAAAACATCCACTAATGATATAAAAAAATAACGATGGTGTTTCATTGGTATACTATTAGGTATATATTTCAAAACTACTCTTTGAAATTAAGATATACAGGCTTATATACAGTTATATGCAATCCTTAGATCACTATAAATACAAATCAGAGAAGTAAAACTGTAAGCCTGTGTGTGTATGGAACAGAATACACTGTTAATTGAAGAATAACCATTTCTTAAGGCCTCACATTGAGGTGCCAACTAACACCCACTAATTTCATGCCCAAAGCATCCACAACTGTACTCTGTCACATCTACATTTAATGTGTGTTACACGTACACTGTAGTAAAACTCTATTATTTGCTACCATCACCGAACAACCGTGTACCCTGGCTTTGATTTGCAATTGTTAGAAGCCAAATTTTAAAGTTTGTAAAGCATTTTCTGCTATTCTTCCCTTCAGGATAAAAAAAATAAATTCTGACTGTATCATGGGTGTGGATGCACTGAACAATAACTTTATTCCTCTGTTACAGAAGATTTCCTAGGTCTGAGAACAAGCTCTTTGATAGAGGTAGTGATTTCCTGGAGCTCTTTTCCAATAGTATCTGCTCCTTCTTCCTCTACCAGGTTATCTGTTGTATCACCGATTCCCTGTTCTGTTTTCTTTGTCTGGCTGATCAGCTGTTTCACTACTAATCCCTGGTATTTGACTAACAGAGAATGCTGATCCTGAGGGGAAAAAACAGAAGAAAACAAAGGAATGTCAATGTTACAGGGAACTTACACAGACCTTTAAATAAAGATTTTTAAAAAATGCATTCTCCCATTCTTGTGTAAAGAGGGTTAGTGATACATAAATATATTTCCATCAAGGTATTTTGCGACCTAAATTCTGTGAGATATTCAAAGAGCCAGAAAAAAGAACGTGCACCCATGCTGCAAGAACAGGACAATTAACGACTGAAACAGGACAGCAATGCAGTTAGTAAACATCATCAGTTTTGGTAGTTTAGAATATAGAATTTCAATATTTTTACTTTTGAAGAGGTATATCTTTAAACCTTAATTAGAAAAGTTTAAAAACCAACCATTTAAAAAGCAAAGCTGGGAGGAAAGAGAGTGTAAAAATTTTCAGTTATACGAATTATAACATCCCCCAATACATAGCTGTCCCTATGGATAAAGGCAAAAGCTACAGTACTGTAACAGACTGATTTTCAATTTTAGTAGAAAAAAAGACTTACCCTTGAAATAGTAAGTTTGAAATACAATACAGATCAGAGAAATCGTATATTCTGTACATAAAGTAATGATTAGACATGAAACACAAAGCTGCCAGTCTTATGCAGCAGAATAGGATAAGGCACAACTTCTACGTTCTGTCATAGAAAAAAGGTACTTTCCCCTTAAAAAGCTAGAAAGAAAATACCTCTGGGATCTTGCCACTTAGGAAATTAATGATCTGTGGTACTGATCTTCCTGGTGCATGAAGCATACAGGAGGTTGAAAACTGAAATAGCAGTACTGATGTCAGGTGCAGAACAAGAGCTGGATCTTCTGTGACTTTCAGCTGTTCAATCAGAGCTTGTTTATGCTGAAATAGGACTTGCCTAAGGAACAGAAATACATTATATAAAATTCTTGTTCTGTCTTATAGTAGTTCATAATAGACTCTAACACACCTAACTTCAATTAATTTTAATTTTCTCCTCTGACTGACCAGTTCTTTACATGAAATTCCAGATTTAAAAAAACCAAAACCTAGCACAGATTTTGAAAAGTCTGCTAGAGAACTTACAAACCGATATGTTGCAGTATGCAGTCAGTCAAGCAAAATAGCTAAATATGAACTCTCCCCTCCTCCTTCTCCCTTGGAATTAGGACTGCTTGGCTTTGTATTTTCCAGTTAAACAGTTTGGAAAGAAAGACTGCCTCTTACACATTCTGTGTGACTGCTACCAAACTAACCATCTGATATTTGTGCAGCAACAGAACTATATTTCACATACTGTGCATAGAATAGATAAAATTAAGGTACCTTTCCTTCTTTTTGTCTCCTTTTTTCACCATTATACCACAAATATCCACTGCAGAATCAAGGCATGAAAGAAAGTCTTCTATACTCTATTAAAAAATAACACAAATGTTTCATCTGTGTTAGCAGATTATAAAAAAGGTTAATTATTGTTCACAATCAAACAAACAGATGACTATGAATACATTTGGAATAAACTATGTAAAAAAAGAAAAAATATTTAGTAGAAATTAACTTTGTTCCTCCTCCAATAGTTCATATATGTAAATACTAAAACAAACTATAATCCATTAGTCTTAAAAATGGAACTAAAAAAGGAATACATGTTCTACAATTACTTACAGATTTTTTTTCTTAAGAAACATACCAGGATGGCTTTTTGCATAAAAGTATTAATCAATTACTTTCCTTGTACTTACACTGCCATAACCTGAAGCGTTTTGTTTAAATATCCAGGATTTTACTAGTTAAGAAATACATGGGAGAACAATCAGGAACTTCAGGAACAAAATACAAGAAACATCAACAACTTTTAACTGCAGATTCTTCCTCAGCTTTTACTTTTCTCACCTGCACATAAAAGATAACAGTAGATTCCATCTGGAAGCAAAGAGCTAGGTGACTATCAGTATCAAAATGTAAGACCACCTTTTTGCCTCTTAAAATTCACAGATATGAAAATATACTTACTCTCACTGACACGAATTCAAAATATTATTTTGCCTTCATCCTTCACAGCAGCAGCATTTATGTGCTACACTATGTATGTCAGCTGTTTATTAGCATTGTATCAGCAGAATGGAAAATCTGAACTGATTCTTGATCACTTTACCTTGCCATTCAGAGAAGTATGCAGTTTAGTTAAAGGACCTTTGCTGTCTTCTGGCAATTTACCTAAAATCTTGGTTCGGACCTGCATGAGACAAGAATGGGAATAAACTGTTATATTAAGTAGCATTAGCTGTAGGTATATTTAAACAGAAGATAATTAAATATTAATTATCACTGATCTACTTGAGACTGTTAAAAGGAGCTGTCATCTGTGTACCTCACTTGTGATGGTAGAATAATTTTCTGTTGTCATCATTGAATCAGATGCTAGGAAGTTGAAAATAAGATTTGTAATGTCTGTACAGATAGTCTTCAACAGATGTTTGGCAAGGTTAGTCTGAGTCTCATCTGTTGAAAGAAATAAGTGATTAAAAGTAAATTATCATATTTATCTGATTCCTATGACAGTTATCACAGCACTTCCTAAAACATGGACTCTATCAACCATGAGTAGTCTGAGAAAGTTATTGGGGTACATGAAGCTAACGCCCCTCATTTGCAGTTGCTTATGGAACATTCTTCAGTGAAAAATGCGAGTTTTCAAGTCTCTAAGCACATTTTAATGCATTGTTGGTTTTTCAAAGGTGTATCTGTATAAGCAGTGCACTAGTCCCAGTACAAGACTCCTGAACCACTAACGAACAACCACTGCTATCCATGAACAAGTAAAAAGTATGTAAAGGAAAAGTCTACAGGACAAGCACTGAAACAGAAGAGCAGGCACATGACTTATGACAGAAACAGTAGAATTTCAGAAAAAAAGAGGCTACAGAACACATGTCCAAAAACAGGGGCTAATGGGAAATAATTCTGTTTTTTCCTAAACACAGGAATATTTTTTGCTAGTGTTTCCTCTTGCTCTAAGTTTTCAGTAGG